CAAAAAATCCATAGTTCATTTTACGGAGAACTATATATAAAACATGTAAAAAAATTCGATAGTGATCGGATCATTTGTTTTTGAGTAATCGCTGCAGCAAATTCGGAAAATGCTGTTTCGAGAAAAACGCGTTTAAAGATTAAATGATCCTTATACTATATACTATATATATACTCTTAAAATGCCTGTGACTCAAAAACTATTTAAGATATCGATTTGAACTTTTGGTATGTTATTTTTAAAGGTATAACCTATCGAAATATGGAAAAATTGAAAATTCGATTTCTTGAAAATTTCACACTAGTTGTGCTCCTTAAATGATGTGTTATTGTTTACTTAGATTATCTATCGCCCATGTTGATTCCGACGGAGTTGCACACTTTGCTCGAATCTTCGGATGTGGTTGGAAATATTCGGTTTAGTCATCCGACTTTGTATGTTTTTCCTGGAGGACAAGGTGATGCTGCACTTTTTGGAATCAATGGCTTTAATATGTTGGGTAAGTTTTATGTATATATATATATATATATATATATATATCTTCTTATATATGAAAATGAAGCTCGATAAAATGATCCGCTAAAACTCGAAAACGGCTAAACCGATTTGGCCAGTCTTAGTCTTGAAAAATTCGTGCTAATCAGTAGTATGTCGGAAAGATGAGATATTATTTCAAAATCGCGTAGAAACTTTACATTTTTAATTTGAAATTTTTTGTAGAAGCGTAATTTAAATAAAACTATAAGATGGCGGCTAATACGTCAAATGTCAAACGTTTTTGACAGATGATGTTCAATTACGTTTAATAGGATGCTTTAGATGAATATTATTTAATTGTAGTAAATAGTTTCATTTGTAGTTATATTTATACACAAAAACGTTATTAAACGGATCGCAAGAGTTACTAGAAACTCAAAATATCAACTTTTTTGAAATGTTAATATGAAAATGCACTTTTTGGCATATTTTTCTCAAACACGGTGCTCTGGAAGATCTCATTTGTATAATTATATACTCATTGGTATTTATAAAACATTTTTTACGTTATATTATTTTTTATATATATTATTTGAATTCAAAACCTGAATTTGGTATCGACCAAATGCGCATTTTGTCGAATAACATTTTCCCAGTTATATTTTCCCAGAATTTATCAAAGAATAATTAGTAATATATGAAGGTCCGAGGTTAAAAAGGTCCACCACCGATGTGTCAAAAACCAGTTATGTTAAGCATTGTTTAACAACAATATTTGAAAATAGAGGAAAAAAGATGTATAACCAGCTATAACCTTGATTCTCATGACTTTGCTATCAGTGCTATCAGGAGATAAATCGTAATCTTTGAAAATCCATATGTAAAGTATTTTCTTTGGTAGTTTTATAGCATTAGTTAAAAATGTAATTGTTTTGTAAAATACCATTAAAATTAAAATAAGACATTAAACCTGTTTGCCACCTGGCCGTTCCAAGTTACCCCGTATATGGGGTAAAAAGGTCTAGATAACAAATTTTTAAAAGACATCAATAAAAGCACATTTCTACAATGATGAAGTAGCTGACAGTTTTACTGAACGTAGTCAGATAATTGTTTGTTTGAAATGTGTTATTTGTTGTGATATAATTAGTTTGATTTATATAATATAATTAATATTTGCTCAAAGTCAAATTGGACCTTTGTGCCTCGCCCTGCTCTACGTACATACTTTTTAATAAATTTACTTTAATTTATCGAATGTTACATGAAACTTTTCAAAAAGCAGGTCAAAGAAGAAATACTTAATTCATTTTCTATCTCTCCTCGCAGAAATTTGAAATTTTTTTATAAGCTCAGTAGTATTATTTACAATTATACACAAAATCCAGAATCCAAAAAGAATCTGAAAAACTTGAAACGTAATCAATAAGTCGAATGACCAAAAAAGACTTGGATTAGATTATACCATGTTTTCTATAGAAAGTGTATAAAACTTCCAGTTTGATTGTATTGACAAAATATAGACAAACTAATGGAGTTTATTGTTTTTATAACACTTCATTGTATATAGCATTCAAACAACACATCCTTATACTCTTAAAGTATTAATATTTTTGATTCTCTACAAATTGTTTAGAACACACCGTACTTAGCGAAACAACGTTTGCCGGGTCAGCTAGTATATATATATATATATATATATATATATATATATATATACATAGATGATATATCATAATCCTGTCCTATAAAATGTTTTTCTTTATTTTTTTCAGTCGACGGAGGTTTTGCCCGAAAAGCTTGCTTCTGGGACTTCGCCCGTCACCTGGATCGCCTCGACGCCGTTCTGATGACTAGGCTAAATAATTCAAATGCCTCGGCTTGTCTTCCGTCATCAATAGAAAAAAATCAGCACTATCTATAACCCTCAGATCGGACATTTCTTTCTGCAACCTGCAGGACAAAAAAGTCCTACAAAGCCCTGATGGCGACAAAGACCGCGATCCGTTGATGTTGGATTTGTTGGAGCAAGGCCAGAATATTTTGACTGATTTGAAATGCTTGAATTTGAAACCTCAAGCTTGTTACAAAGACTCAGAACCTATTAACTTGTACCATAAAGTTGGACATGGTAAGATAAACTATACTCTTAAGGGGGTATTCTAGTGTAGAAATTCAAAAAAATCTTTTTGAATTTTTTTTATTTCATATTTTCAAAGTTTAACTACTTAAAAATGTGGGTGCGAGAAGGTTTTTGAAAATTTGAATGATTTTCGGAGATATAGGCATTTTACTGACTAGGTCTCCT